CAGAAGACTCTCAAAGGTGCAGGCCATGAAGCAAGTGTCGGGTCTCTTGGGGACAAGGGGATGCCTTGGCCTCCCGGCCTCAAAGCCCATAAAGCTGAAGGTACAGACAGAGCAGAGCAGCTCTGTCATCACAGTTCTTGTGGAAGTAAGTGCGGGCATGGTCAGCATGCAGCTGCTCTAACGCAAACTCGGGAAGAATTGTGAAGCTGCCTTTGCTTCCCTCCAGCAGAGCACTGCCAGGGATGGCTGTGTAGCGGTAGCTGCTTCCCAGCACCGCTTCCCCTGTTTGCCACCTGTGAGCTCAGCCTGGACGCTGAGAATTCCATTCTTGTTCCATTATTAGACATTGGTTTCTCTGTTACATTCAGCCTGTTATCAGAGTAAAATAAATGAGCTGAAAGATTGTGATCCCTCTTACCCACCCACCTGGGATGGTCAGGGGTGGGTGAGGCACCAGGAGTGCCACTGAGGCCCTGGGCCCAGGTTGCTGCAGCAGCTGAGGGAGACCCTGGAACTCTCCATGCTGTGAGCAGCTGTGCCGGTTGAGGAGCGCAGGGTGAGGCTGGCGTGGAAGCTGTTGCTGGGCTTATTCCCCCTGGCGAAGTGGTGGCTGTTGAGGATCTGTGGCAGGTAGGATTTCACATCTGGCTGTGGTGGTTTGAAACCAGGAAAACCTCTGAAGCACCTCTACCCACTGCTGCTCATTGTTCACCCACCCTGTATCTTTTAATTGCAGCGTTTAATCCATTTAAAGTGATTGTTGATAGGTGCACAGTTATTGACATTTTATTATTTATATTGAAATTCCTTAGAAGTCTCTTTAACATTTCTTGTAATACTGATTTGGTGGTGATTAACTCCTTTAGTTTTTTCTTATCTGGTAAGCTCTTTATTTCTGTTATTTTAATTTAATTTAAAGTGCAAAATTCACTGTTTTTAAATTTTTTAAATGATATGTTATTGATTATGCTATTACAGTTCTCCTGATTTTTTCCCCTTTGCCTACCTCCACCCAGCACTCCCACTCCCTCAGGCAATCCCCTTATCCTGGTTCATGTCTGAGGGTCATGTGTGTAAGTTCTTTGGCTACTCCATTTCCGATACTGTACTTCACATCTCCAAGACTATTCTGTAATTACCTATTTGTCCTTCTTAATTCCCCTTTAATTTTAAATGAAAGTGTTGGTGGGTAAAGTAGTCTTACATGTAGGTAGTCTTACAGGTAGGTGCTTTATTTCACTTTAAATATTTTGTACTAATCTCTTCTGGCTTTTAAACTTTCTGTTGAGAAATCAGCTGACAGTCTTATGGGAGCTCCCTTGTAGGCAACTGATGTGTCTTTGTCTAGACCTCTTTGGGCTCATGTTGTTTGGGATTCTCTGAACTTTCTGGACATGTATGTGTATTTTCTTCACATAGTTAGGGAATTTTCAGTCATTAGTTCTTCAAATATATTCTCAGTCATTTGTCTTTCTTCCTTCTAGTACCCATATGATGCAAATGTTATTATGCTTTATATTGTCTCAGAGTTCCCTTACACTATTATCATTTTTTAAAATTCTGTTTTCTTTTTGCTGCTTTTATTGGATGTTTTGTGCTATTTTTGTCTTACAAGTCATTTATTTGATTCTCTGCTTTATTCTATGTACTTTTGATTCCTTCTAATGTATTCTTCATTTCAGTTATTCTTCATTCTGTTTTCTTATGGTTTAGAAAAAAAAAACCAATCTTTGTTGAAGTTCATGAAGTTTATCTCTTTTAAGCCTATGTCTTTGTTGAAGTTCATGAAGTTTATCTATGCTTTCCCTAATTTTCTTGAGCATCCTTTTAACCAGTGTTTTGAATTCTGTATCTGGTAGATTGCTTGACTCAATATTATTTAGTGTTTTTTTGATATTTCTTCTGTTTTTCACCTGATCTTTTGTGTGTGTGTGTGTGTGTGTGTGTGTGTGTATTCCCCCAAATGGAATTTACTTATTAAAAATTGTGTATTTATTCATACATGTTTAAACTTTAATCACTTTGAAAGTATTCTACATTTGATGCAATACTCCTATTGAGACATTTTCCCACTGCTCAAAACAGTTTTTGAACTCATCGATTTTGATGCCTTTTAGTGTTTCTGCTTTTTTTTGTTTTGTCTCTTCCACATTGGCAAAATGTTTCCGTTTGAGGACTTTTTTCATTCAGGCAAACAAAAAAGTCACTCAGGGTGAGATCTGGTGAATAGGGAGGGTAGGGCATGGGGGTTGTGCTGTTTTGGGACAAAAATTGCTGAACTCAGTGCAATACAGACAGGTGCATTCATAAATCACTCATCATGAAATGGGCAAACTGGTTGAAAGAATCTTCAAAAAAAATTCACCGAAGCCGAATACATCCTCTCACAACAATGCCTGCTGGTACACTGAAACAAATAGGTTCCTAGGACACTTCCCTAGTGGAGTAAGCCTGTACTACAAAGGGCCTTCCCTCCAGAAGATAATTCCTGTTTTTTTGGGGGTTCCCCATATATACGTTGACTGCAGTGGGAGAATGGCTTAATGCAGGGGAGATGGCAGCCATCTCTCCAATCTTCACCCCAAAGCCACTCAGCTCAGTTTCTCCCTGTATGTCTTTGGCAACCCTTGAGCTATTTTTTCCTTTATTGGAACCCAAGGTGAGTGTCTGCAAGAATTTGTGTGCTGACCCTTTAAGAGGACACCTGGGATTACAGCTGATTTTCACAACCAGATGTTATGTGGATGCTTTTTCCTGGCACTGGTGCTCTGAATGGGGAAGTCACATGTGGGGCTGAGATCTCTCACTGCTAAGGTGTGACTCTGCAGATGAGCTATCTCTTCAGATTCCCAAACACCAATGTATTTTGTGTCTCTGTCCCTCCAACCAGTCATGATATGGCTTCTTTATATCCTTAGTTACAGGACTTCTATTCAGCTAGTCTTCAGATGGTTATACAGGTTGATTGTTCTATAATTTAATTGTAACTTTGATGTGGTCATGGGAGGAGGTGAGTGTAGTGTTCATCTACTCTGCCATCTTGATCAGATTCCTTGAAATTACACAATTTTCAAATTCCTTTGGAGAGAATGGCCAGTTTTGTAATATTATCTTTTTATCTATGTACATGATATCTCTTCATTTATGTTTTCTTTAACATATCTTAATAAAATTGTATTATTTTCTTTAGAAATGTAATATATATTTTTATTGTTGTTATTCCTACACATCATTATTTTTTGTGGATATCAAGACAAACTGATTCTATAAAAAAAATTTATATAGAGAGGCAAAAGACCCAGAACAGCTAACACAGTCTTGAAGGATAAAAAATGAAGTTAGAGGTCTGATATTACCCAACTTTAAGACTGACTATAAAGTTAAATTACTTAAGACAGTGTGGTATTGATGAAAGAATAGACAAATAGATAAGTGGACAGAATAGAAAGCCCAGTAACAGACCAGAATAAATCAAATGACCTTTGACAGAAGAGTAAAGGCAAAACAATGGAGTGAGGGTAGTCTTCAACAAATTGTGCTTGAACAATTGGCCATATATATATATATAAATGAATTGAGACACAGGACTTTCACCCATCACAAAAAACTAACAGAGTAGACCTGAGACCTGAATGTAAAACACAAAACTTTAGAACTTCAAGAAGATGACATAGGAGGAAATGATGACCTTGGCTATCGCAGCAACTTTCTACATATAACACTGAAGGTAAGACAGTCCACAAAAGAAATAACTTATAACCTGGAATTCATTATAATAAAAAACTTACGCTCTGTGAAAGACAATGTCAAGAGAATGAGAATACAAGTCACAGATAGGGAAAAATATTTTCAAAATACACACCTGATAAAGACTTGTTATCCAATATATACAGAGAGCTTTTAAAACTCAATGATAAGAAAGTGAACAACTGATTAAAAAAATGGGCAAATGACCTTAACAAACACCCCACCAAAGAAGGTATACAAATGGCAAATAAGCATATAAAAAGATGTTCAACATCACAAGTCATTAGGATAGTACAAAATATTAAAACACTAATGAGATATCACAATACACCTGTTAGAATGGCCAAAATCCAAAACGCAACGCCAGAAGCTGGCAAGGATGTGGAGCAACAGGAATTCTCCATCATTGCTGGTGGGAATGGAAAAAGGTACAGTCACTTTGGAAGGCAGTTTGATGGTTTCTTACACAATCAAACCTATACTCTAATCACATGATCCAGCAATCATGCTCCTTGGTAGCTACCCCCACTGAAACTGAAAATTATGGCCACACAAAACCTGTATATGGATATTTATGGCAACTTTATTCATAGTTGCCCAAAACATAGGCAACCAAGATATCCTTCGGTAGGTGAATAAACTGTGGTATATATACAGGATAATGGAATATTATTAACACTAAAAAAGAGCTATCAAGCCATAAAAAGATAGGAAGAAAACTGAAGTGCATATTACTAAGTGAAAGAAGCCAATCTAAAAATGCTACCTTATATGATCCCAACTATATGACATTCTAGAAAAGACAAAACTCTGGAGACAGTGAAATGATCACTGGTTGTTGGAGGCAAGTGGGAGAGAGGGATGTATAGGCAGAGCACAGAGAATTTTTAGGGCAGGGAACTAGTCTGCATGATACTACACTGATGGTTATATTTGTATAAACCCATAGAATGCACATCACCACCAAGAGTGAACCCTAATTAAACTACAGACTTTGGGTGATCACGATGTGTCAATGTAGGTTCATTAATTGTAACTTTCAGCTCAATTTTGCTATGAACCTAAAACCACCCTAAAAATAGTTTTTAATTAAAAACTGAATCCAGAAGGGATGAATGGTATACCAGATACAAAGCAGAAAATGGCATAGAAGCAAGAGTTTAAGTGATACTAAGTGATACATTTTTAAAATTAAAGGAAAGCATGAACTGGTGGCAGCTGGAAGCTGAGGAGGCAGAGCAGTGAAGCCTCGTATGGAGGGCTGCCCGCCAAAACCAGACCCCGAGGAGATAAAATGGAAGATGTGCAATGGTGTGATCACCTCCGTATGAAAGTTCCACATCAAGTGGCCCTGCTGTGAGTCACTCCTTTTATCTCAAAAACACTGGACAGCATATAAAGATTGGACGTGACATATGGGTGTGTGATGTGCGAACCTGGTTACAATTTCTACTCTGCAAAAGAGTCTGTGGATGATGTGGAGACTCTTTGATTGAATGGACATAACACTTGTACTTGTTAAGAACAAGCTTGGCTCTGGAAACTGACCTTCATAGCTAAAATGTAAAATTATTTGGGAAGTACAAAAGCCATTTTGTGGTTATAGTATGCCCTTGTACCTGTGATGTTCAGCTTCCGTGAATGTTGGTGTAAATTTAAATAATGTCAAACTCCATTTTCGTGCAAGTATTGTTTAAGGGAGTTATGTCTGCAATGATGCTGTCTTGTCAGTCATTTCTTGACCTTTTTACTTCTGTCTGGAGTATATTTGTTGAAGAGCTCCTTATAGTTAGTTGTGTTTCATGAAGCCAGTACACACCACCACAACATTTAAGTGTAGGACGACTAGTCTATACTTTTAATGAATGTACCAATGAAACAAAGCCATAAAACTTCACATTGAGAGTACGTTCTGCCCTGGCTGGTGTAGCTCAGTGGATTGAGTGCGGGCTGCGAACCAAAGTGTTGCAGGTTCGATTCCCAGTCAGGGCACATGCCTAGGTTGCAGGCCATGGCCCCCAGCAACCGCACATTGATGTTTATCTCTCTTTCTCCCTCCCTTCCCTCTCTAAAAATAAATAAATAAAAATCTTAAAAAAAAGAAAGTACGTTCCAAAACTGAACAGACTACATCAAACATGAACATTCACATCTAGATACCTCACAGTGAAATAGCAACATGCACATCAAGGATAACAAGAGAAAATTGACTAGAATTTCCCATTTAAAAAGAGAGATCAGACTACTTACAAAGCAATTGAATTAGATGAGAGCCTATGTGTTATCAACAGCCTTTACTTTGAGTACCAGGTTCAGAGATCAACGAAAAGTGTATGGGAGTGTCTGTCTATGGGTGTGCATAGGGTGAGGGGGAGGATGAGCAAGAGACAGAGAGGAGGATGGCGAGAGGTTTAGTGATAAAGTGGTGAGCTCCACTTTGCATGACCTAAATGGGAGGCACTAGGGCGGCCAAAGGGACAAGGGGAATGGACAGATCGTCGGACCACTCATAGAGTAGCATGGAGCAGGGGATCATGTGGCTGGCTGTGAGACCCACTAATGAGGGATATGGTTGCATCTACACCCTGGACCACCACACAGGGGCCTCAGCCTCATTCATGTGAATTCTTAAAATGCTTATGGCTCTGCAGGGTGTGAAATAATGTGAGTGAATGAACCAGAGTTCAACTCGAACGAAGATTAGCCAAAAAAGTGGGAATAAGGAGAAAGGAGAATAGCAGCAGAGGAGGCAAGGTAACTGGGAGTCAGATGTCAAGCGGGCAGGAGTAGATATTAGAAAACCAGTCTACAGGGCGTAGTGCCTTGCCAGTGGATGAATACTGTGACAAAAGGACCCAGTTCTGCTGTAGGAGAGTTGGCAGGGCAGAGGTGGGTGTCGGGTTTTGAGGTATAGGCCTGAATCAGGAAATGAAGCAGTGTGTGTGGAAAGTAGGGCAGACTTTGTGGTCTGGGTTGACCAAGGAAGTGAGGAGTCCTGTGTTTGGGGTGTGGGGAAAGCTACACGTGTTTCGGGGTTCACACTTAGCACATCTGAATATGTAACACTGATGTGGAAATGGACTACAGAATGTGTGAAGAAGTACAAAGTGGTTGTAGGGTAGGGTAGGCCCTGAGAACTTGTCAGTTCCAAGTCCCGAAGGACGGTGGACCCGAGGACTTGTTTATTTTCTGGCCCGCCATGGTTGGCCAGGGATGGGATGGATCTGGGTCAGCAGAAAAGGTCCACAGACAGATGCATGGTGTGCTGGGGGACTTAAATGCAGGAAGTCCCACTAGGACCTGACTGGACTGATGTCACACGCTGCCCCTGCAGCTTCAAGTTGATTTTGGGCTAAACTTTGGAGATCACCAGGCAGGTAGCATGTTCTGACTAGTCAGCTTCGTGTGGCTCACTAAATCCCCTGACAATGCTTCTGTTTATATACAAACAACAAGTCACTTGCAGCGCCAGGTGGTCCAAACGATCTCATTATTTCCTGCTACATGTTGTTTCTGTTCTCCCATGATGTAGGCTGAAAAAACTCAAGTCACCTTTGCTTTCTTCTGTGACCTCGCATACAATCCTTCCTCAGTCCTGTCTGTTCTACCCTGAGAAACCCCCTTCGGGGCCCTCCTCTCCTCTTGCTGCCAGTCTTGACCCAGATCCTCACGTCCGTTCTCCTGCCTTTCTGGAAAGAGGTTCTTACCTGGTTGCCTGCTCCAGGCTCTTCTCCCTCTGATTTCGAAATTTCCCTTTCCCTCACACCCTCATACAGCCAATCAGCCAAACCTTCACCTTCACCTCTAAAACATAGTCCCAGACTGACCACTGCTACAGCTACGCCCCTGCTTTGGGGCCTGTCGCTTCTCATTTGGAGGATAGTAATAGCCTTACCCTTGCTCCCCGTGATTCCCCATCTCAGCTTGAGTGATTGTTTTAAAATGCAATCAGGTAATTTTACCTCTGCTTTACTAGAAGCTTCTAGAATTCTGCCACTATGTGTAGAATAAAATTTGAACTACTGCCCATGTACTTCAAAATGCTGTAAAACCTGGGCCTGATGACTTCTCTGAGACCATCACGACCACCCCCCGACCCCACTCAGCCCCCTCACACTGACTGACTACTTGCTTTGCTCAGATGTGACAGGCAGGACTGTGCACAGGTCCTTGTGCTGCTCCCTCTGCCTGGAAGACTCCTCCAGATCCTTGCAAATCTCACTGCCTCCTACAGCGCAAGTCTCCACTCTGACATCACTTGCCTAGATAAGCCTTCTCTGACTCTCCAATGTGATTTCACCTAGTCTCTGTTAGTGTATCTTGCTTTACTTCTTCTTTACAACACGTTAGTATCTGAAATTATCTTATTCATTAATTTTCTTGTTGTCTCCTCCCCTAAAATAAAGATGTCTCGAGGGCAGGGATTAGAACTTCTACCTTCAGCACCTAAAACAGTGCTTGTCAAATACAGTGTTTTTAATAAATTAATAAATGGTGTTACTAAATTGATCTCAGAGTGAAGCTTTGGGCATGTCCAATCTTAATACAGTAGATTTTTATTGTCCTTCAAGATGCTTTAGAATCTGTTCCACACTTTCTTTACATTCTTATCTTGTGTAATGTCCCTTCCTGTGTCTCGTAACCCACCCAAAGTGGGCGGTGTGTTGTTTCCTGGGTACTCGGCTCTTCCTCCCTTTTGGCTTTCTGTTCAATCAGCTTCTCTAACTCATATGCCATTTCCCACATATTCTCAGTTTTTCTCCTTAAAATAAATCTTGTCCCAATGTGTCCTCATCTATGAGGGTGAGGTATTACCATCGTCCCTGCCTATGAAGTTTCCTTCTCACTCTGAATTCCATGCGACTTTGGTACCTGTTAGAGTCTTTCACCACAACATCTTGAAATCTGGTACTTGTGTCTTAGTAAGTGCCCAGTAAGTACACAGTTGTTAATGGATAGTAAAATTTTGTGTATCTCTTTCACTTTTCTCCAATGTTTTGATATATAATTAACATACACCATTAAATGACTTTAAGGTGCATAATGTGTTGATATGATACACTTAAATATTGCAATATAATTACTTCCATAGTGTTGGCTAATATGCCCATCATAATGTAATTATAGTCATGTAATTACCATATCTTTTTCTGTGGTAAGAACATTTTAAGATCTACTCTCTTAGTAACTTACAAGTATGTAGTATGATATTGATATTTAGGTCTGCAGAATTTATTAATCTGTTAACTTCAAGTTTGTATTCTCTAATTCTTCCCATTCCCACCCCTAGCTCCTGGTAAATATCGCTCTACTTTCTATTTATACAAGTTCAGCATTGTTAGATTCTACAAATAAGAGATATCACCAGTATTTGTCTTACTGTCTGAATTTTTAATATTTATTTTAAGATTACAGTTGTTGTACATGATTATATTAGTTTCAGGTGTACAATCCTGTGATTAGACATTTATATAACTTAAAAAGTGACCACCCTGATAAATCTAGTATCCATCTGACATCATACATCAGTGGTGTCAAACTCATTTTCACTGGGGGCCACATCAACCTTGTGGTTGCCTTCAAAGGGCCAAATGTAATTTTAGGGCTGTATAAATGTAATGACTCAACAGTTAAGTGAAGCTTGGTGCTGCCACCAGGTAGAAACAAGGTGCCGTGCTGGATAAAACAAGGTAGAGGGCCAGATTTGGCCCACGGGCCTTGTGTTTGCCACCTGTGCCATATATAGTTATTACAATATTATTGATTATATTCCCTGTGCTGTACTTTACATCCCCATGACTATTCTTTAACTGCCAATTTGTGCTTTTAAATTTCTTCACCTTTTTTTACCCAACCCCCCAACCACTCTCCCCTCTGGCAAACATCAAATTGCTCTCTGTATCTATGAGTTTGTTTTTGTTCTGCTTGTTTGTTTTTCAGATTCCACATATAAATGAAATCATCTGGCATTTGTCCTTCTCTGTGTGATTTACTTTACTTAGCACAATACCCTTTAGGTTGATCCATGTTGTCATAGATGGCAAGATTTCATTCCGTTGTACATATGCCCCACTTTATGCATTCATCTGTGATGGATACTTAGGTTGTTTCTGGGCTATTGTAAATAATGCTGCAATAAACATATGAATATATACATGTCTTTCTGAGTTATCATTTTGGGTTTATTTAGATAAATTTTCAGTAGTGGAGTTGCTGGATTCTTCTTTGACTCTTGTTATAGCCTTTGTTTTAGAGTCTATTTTGTTTGATATAAGTATTATTTCCTCAGTTTTTTTGTTTTGTTTCCGTTTTATGAAATATTTTTTTTTCATCTCTTTATTTTCAGTCTGTGTGTGTCTTTCAGTCTGAAGTGAGTCTCTTGTTAGCAGCATATGGAAG